TATCAAAATACACAATTCTTAAATATGTTATATTTATGTTTATTTGAATACAAATACAAAATTGTGACTTGATGAGAATTTAAGTGTTAAGTAAGAGAGTTTGTGATATTCAGTCACGTATCGGTTTCTAAGTGCAATATGATACAATATATGACTCTTAAGAATTATTATTGTACAATTTAATTTAAATATTTTAAATCAGTAATTCAAACTCAATAAATTATTAAAGTTTATAGCTCTCAATTCATTGATTTAAAGTATTTTGGATCAATTGGTTAGATTTAACAATTGTTACAGTTAAACTTTCAAGGTATTACACATTTATTAGGGTGTGCAACTTCGTCACATATAAGCCAACCATTTCTATTTCTATTATACACATCCAATACGGGATTCGTGACATATTCTTGCATTCAAAGAGGGCCAACAAATTCTTGACACTCTTGTTAAAAAGGGGTTGACAGCATTCCTCACGTATAATAAGTCTCTTAAAATCAATATTAATATCATTTGTCACAAATTTATTATCATATCTAAAAGTATACAGATGCATCTATTGAGCCCAAGAGGGCCAACAAATTCTTGACACTCTTGTTAAAAAGGGGTTGACAGCATTCCTCACGTATAATAAGTCTCTTAAAATCAATATTAATATCATTTGTCACAAATTTATTATCATATCTAAAAGTATACAGATGCATCTATTGAGGCCCGTCTATAACCCAATTATCCATTTTCTCTGTATTCAATACGAGATGTGACATTTGACTCCATGCATGAGCGATCCTAGTCATGTATACTCAAACCACAATCCTAAACATCTCTTATACAACCTGCCACAGTAAGCAAACGTCTATTACATATCTTAAAAGTCATATCGCCACATTCTAGCCAAGGCTAACCTCGTCCTCAAAAATTTACAAATCAAGAATTCAACATCCCGTAACGTTCTAGAACATTCCCCCTATTTGAATCTCTGGACTTCTCTACTAAGTCATGGACTCTCATAATTACGACATCCAAAATTACCTATATTAGGTGGACACCTATCAATTCTATATTTCAAAGGTAAACGCTTGCTTAGGAAGTATGCTAAACAAGGAACATGTTTGGTTGGAAGGGAAAGAAGCTTGACAAGGACAATGTTGAGAAAAGAAGTTGCTTGAGTAGGAATGTGTTTGAAGAAGAAACGGCTTGAAAAAAAGGATTTTCTTGAAAATGAAATTATATAAGTGGGAGTACATGTTTTGAAAGTAAATTGCTTGATTTAGAAAAAGAAGTCTGATTTAGGACCAAACTGAAAAGGAAAAGTTTTCCAGTAGGGTGACTGTGAATTTGGAAAGCATAGCCTTTTTGTAATATTCAAAAATTGAAGGCTTAAATTAACAAAATAGTTTTCAAGAAGTGCTCGGTGAAAATTGCAATAATTTGTCCTCAAGTCAAAATTTATTCTAACTTGAAGTCCTAAAAAACTCATTTATTAAATGTTACAATACGGAAAGTCAAAAAGTTGTTAGGAGTGTTTACATGTTTTAGTTTGGTTCTATTTGGTTTTGAACATCATCAAAACCAAATTGAACAAGTTAATTTTTAATAATCTTGAACATCATCGATTTTAATAATGTCTCAAAATCAAATCAAACCATATATGATTATATCATTTAGTTTGGTTTGAATATAATTATATCGTTTAGTTTGGTTTGACATATCGGTTTTGTAGATATTTTTTAAGATAAAATTTAATTAAATTTATTCATTAAACAAAGAAAAAAACTCATTAAAGACAACAAAAAATTATTCTAGTTTTCTATAATACCAATAGCTTTTAATATCAAATATTTTAAATATAAGTAAAAATTCATTAGATAGCACTTAAGAACGAGGACTTAGGTAGGGTTTTTTTTTTGTTTTTAATTATATATATATTAAATAAATTATTATATATATTATATATTAAATAAAATAAAATTATATATATACATATATATGCAATTAGTTCGGTTATTTTTAGAAAAAATTGACATTCGAATTGAACAGATCGATTTGAATATTTTAAAAATGAAATTAAACGATTTCTTTCTATTTTAATCAGTTCAATTTAAATTAAGCCAGTTCAATCGATTTAGGTTGGTTTTGGGCAACCCCTAAAAGGAGCTTAGTGTTTTGACTATTTATTGCAGCTGAAAATTGACCATAAGTTATTAATAAAAAAAGAATTTGGAATCCTCCCAAAAAGATGTATGCATACATATAAAATAGGCCTTGTTTGAATTTAAAATGAATAAGCTATGAATTCTCAAATTTTCAGCACAAAAACTAGAATTTGCTAGGTATTTTCTGAATAGTTACTCCGTTTTGGAAAACAAATATCACCCTCTTGAAGATATATTTAACAAAAATGATTATATGTATGTTAGCTCCAAGAAAGAAATTTCGAAGTACTGCACAGGAATCAAGTCGTTTGAGCAGATCCCAAGAGAGATATATACTAAATTTTGTAAAAGCGCATAGATTTGGAAACTATTTAGAAAAAATATTTTCATATTTTTTAGAACGGGAATTATTAGATATATTTTATTTGAAAATAGATCTATTTCTCAAATACCTATTTTCTTTTTCTTTTGAGAAAAAGATAAAAGCTATTTAAAATCAAAATTAGACAATCCTAAAAAGAAAAATACATTCTACATGGTGCCTTGGGTGCAAGGTGTAGTGACATATGCAAGCCTCAAGAAACCTTTGGATCGGAGAAAAACTAACCAAAATGGCCTCAAATCTATAGATCCTTCCTCCGGTCTCCCTAAGCTCCATCGTCTGTCCAACTCAAAATTTCTTTCAAATTTTCACTCAATCGATGCATTTGATTGAGGGCTTTGGTGCGTCTCGCTTAAACGCACCTAATGCGTACCAAATCCAATTGAATCACACCCAAAAACGTGCGAGATATGGTTTGAACAATTCAATCCACTGTTGGACTGAGCCTGTCAGATCCAATTTCAATACAACCCCCAGAACTCTTATTATCTTCAATTCGGTCCCTGAGCATTTCTAATTTAGTCCTTGCTTCCTTCAATCTCTTCAATCAAACCCCTAGGGTTTCAATTTAAGCCCTAAAATTTTCTGTTTTCTTAATTCAGCCCTCAGAACCTTTGATTCCCTTAATTAACTCCTCCCAAAATTCACTTTTGACCCCAGACTTTCAATTCTTTTAATTAGGTCCCTAACCTTAATTAATTCAAAAAATTGGGTCATTATAGATCTATTGTGATACGAGATACTCCAACTTGATACATTCTATCCCTATTATATGAGCTATGATGTGATATATACTTTTGGTGGATTTGATATATGATATATACCCCTGATAGGTTATGATGTGATATGAGATATGCTTTGACATGATATGCTCTGTCAGTAATCTGTTGAGATGAAATTATGATCTGACATAAGATCTTGATATGATATGTAATATGTGATACTTTTGATAAAGTACGTTTTGTCGTTGAGATGAGATACAATATGATAGGGTACTCCCACATGTTTTACATCTTTAAAACTCATTATTTTTGAAAATTGTGTTTTCAAATATATAAGGCATATATTATCATTTTCAACCATATACATACTTTGCTCACTATCTTAATTATATATACATGTTTTGCATGTTTTACAATACATGTCTCAATATGCCTAGAGTTTGAATTACCATTTACTGAGTTTTATACTCACACATTTTTTAAAAATTTTCAGATCGTAGTGCTAGTTCGCCTTTACTTCATTTTGCTTTTCAAACATGATCCTTCTGTATGTATACAATTTGACTATCTATATTCATATAACTTAATATTATATCAGAAGTGTTATCCATTTTGCTTGACACTTACTAGACCTGGTGATTTAGATTTAGCACTAGTCACATGCCTGATTTTAGGTCGTGACAAAACTTTTATGTCCTTACAATCATTTCACAAAATACATCAGTTACTTAACTATAAGATAACTAAACAAAGATTTTTTTATACTCAAATTCCAAAAATATTGTTTTGTATTTTCTAAGAAATAACTCTGTTTTCTAGGATAATGAAGCATTGAAGGCTTTAGAAACTCTTAACTGGAGCTTCTCATGAAACTCGTAACTGGAGTTTTCAAGTGTTAACTAGAGGCAACAAGTGTTTGGGATTTTAGTAATTGATCTATGTTGAGTTGGAAAAATGAATACAAATATATAGAAGAAAGCATTCTAATCCTATTAAACATTCTAATCTTAACGACAAATGCTGATCTAATTAGATATCTTTCTGAAATAATAGATGATTCCTAGCTAATGATAATTTTAAAGATAAATCCTAAACAATATCTCTATTCGTGACATGTTGCAATACATCATAGACTAGAAGTTAATAATAAAACATGCATTAACTAGCACAGACTGCCCTTGGCCACTCCAATGATCACAATTATTTTAGACTACTGTAAAAGAATCATTTCATTTGTTCCAGTGCCTCCAACTTCAGTCCACAAGAATCATAATATCAACATTAACCCACCTCATGCTCAATATGCAACTTTTATTTCCACTCCATTTAGCATCATATAATGATAATATCAAAATATATTTAGTAGTCCTGACCCTGCGGCCAAAAGAGGGCAGAGTAAAGCCTTTGACAAAAATGTTGCCTGAAATAATCAGGTCTAGAAGTATTGATTTCTTTCCATCTATTTTCAGGGATTTTAAGTGACACACTCATCACATGGCATTAACCGGAGCTCCATGGATCTAGAAAGTCTGAATTGACTTTTGACTTTCAGAGATCTGGACAAGCTTTCAGCACTTACATGTCTTAATATTTTCTATATTCCCCAACATTATAATAACCTAAGAATTACTTTCAATCTCCATTTTAAGTATACAAACACTAACACTATACTAAAAACAGAAGATACACCCTTGCTTTCAAGGAGAACATACTTTAATATCGCCAAATGAAGAGGAGCAATAATCTACACCCAATAATCCTAAAGAAAAGGTCCCATCTGTCACTGCAAAAGAATTATTTTAATGGAAAAAAGGAAAATGCCAAATGTCAGCATTTATACAGTTAAAATGCACTTTCCTTCACAAAGGGAACATGTTTTACAATCAGACCACGTGATAGGTGAAACTCAAAAAATCCAAAGGCTTTAAAGAAACATGAGTCCAGTACAACGAAAAACGCGTTCAAGAAAATTACCTCATTCTAGCTTCAAAGGCACAACAATAGGCACTAATTTTTAGCCTCAATTAATTAATTGTATGACAGCACTCCATCACTATTATTACAGTCTTACAAGTTTAAAAGAATTCAAGTTGAGCAATATAGTAAGCCAACAAACAGAATCAAAGGTTAGAGGATGCACTAGATGTAAAAAATAATTTATTCAATGAATGTACAATTGGCCAATGGTTACACAAACAAGGAATACAAAATACCTCGCAAACAAATTGGTCTTGAGCCACATCAGTCTTGTTGAAGGTCAACACCAAAGGTAACCGTGTCTTGTAGAGAATGCTACAAGCATATAGCATATTGCTCATGAAGGTTTGTGGATTGGAAGAACGAGGTGTATCAACAACATATTTACTTACAGACAGAAAAGTCGAGGCAAAAGCTTCTGTTATTATTGCTCCACAAGCAGACTAGGTGAATATATCAATCTGACCAGGAGTATCTACGAGATCATAGTCAAGCTGATTTGCACATTTCTCAATAACTGAAATAACCTGAATTATGGTTCCACCACATGGTTAAATGCAATAGGAACAGGATGAAGAAACAATTTGAATTTGGACAAAAGTTAAAACAAATACAATCCCATATTTCATCAATTCAACTGGACATAGAAACCATTATAACTCTTCCTCAGGTTGGAGCACATACTTGTAATAGGTGATTGAAACATCAACTGTCAGAAAACAAGTCTCTTGGACAACAATTTTACCTCAATAAACTTGGTAGCAAGTAAGTCGAGTGATGTCAGGATACCACCATTTGGACCAAGATTAAACTGCTTCATCACTTCCTTGTATTTGACTGTATCTCTTATGTCAATATTGGCACCAAATGTTAAAGATAATTCCTTGTAATTATCTTTAGATTAGGATTTAATTTCTATGTAATTATCTTTAGAGGAATTAGAGTTTTACTAGGATTATAATTCCTATTAGATCTAGGATTAGTTTTCTTATAAATAGGACCCTTTGTAATCATTCAAGTTCATGGAATAAAGATTGAGTGTTTATATTTTCCATCAGTGGTATCAGAGCCATCTTCCTAAGATCCTTCTACAGTAAGGACTTAAGTGAAGAAATTGAGAGTTTGAGGGGCTTAGGTGAGGATAGTACAAAAAAATCAGGGATCTGAACTTAATTAAGTTCAGGGTCTAGAGTGAGAATCCGGAGAGTTGAAGGACTGAACCGTAATACAGAATCCTTGAAAGACCAAATTGCAATTTGGTCATCTTCTTCCTTGGAGCAGATCCGACGAAGCAGATCTGTCCTACCCGGTTCGGATCCGTCCGAACCCGAAGCAGTTTCCAACCTGTTGCAGAACAGTCCGGTTGTAGTAGATCCATCCAACCTGTTCGGATCTGTCCACCTGTTGCAGATTCATCCGGCCGAAGCAGTTGCAGATCCGACCACCAGACCGCAGATCCATCCGAGACCCGAAGCTGTCCAAAGCTGTTGCAGATCCGTCCAGGTGTTGCTAAATCTGACAAACTCGAAGCAAATCCAATCTGCTGCAAATCTGCGCAAGCCCGAAGCAAGTTGCAGATCCGTCTGATAGACCCGACGCAGAATCCAAGCAGTTGCTGAATCCAACAGACCTGAAGCAGTTCCAATCCGTAGCAGATCCAGAAAGCCGACTAATCCGATCCAAAGTAGATCGTCACCAGGAGCAGATTCCGTCTGAACCGTTACAGCAAAATCCAATCCGAAGCAGATTCAAACAACTATTGTAGCAGATCTGTTACAACTGGAGCAGAAACGATCCGCGAAAATCCAAAGCTGTTCCAACCGAAGCAGATCTGTCCAAGACAGTTGCAGAAGCTGATCAATCCGAAATAGATCCAGACACCTAACTGCAGCAGACCCGACTGACTGGAGCATAACCAGTCTGCCTTTGCTGATCCAGAACCGAAGCAATCAAAGCCAAACCGAAGCAAATCCAGACACCGCAGCAGTTCAAATCTGCAGAAACCGAACTGCAGATCAGAAGAGTTTCTAGCCGACCCGACCCGACCCGGTTCGCGTGAAACGGGCTGACCCGACCTGACCCGACTCTGCTGAACCGGGTTGACCCGGACTGGTTCATCAGAAACGGACCAACTGAACCAGATTACTTGAACTAGCTGATTATAAACCGGCGGATCTGAACCAAACTATCCAAAAAGCCCAAAAGTAAACCGGATCAAACAAAACATCAAAAAGGGCTTCCAATGGCGTCCGATAGCTTCGTGCAACCCGCCATTCCACGGTTTGATGGACATTATGATCACTGGAGTATGTTGATGGAGAATTTCTTGAGATCCAAAGAATACTGGCAGGTGGTTAGTGAAGGTATTACAGAACCTTCATCCAAAACCGAAGGCGGAGCAGAACCATCAACACCAGCATTGTTGACAGCCGTCCAAAGAACAGAATTGGAGAGCTTAAAGCTGAAAGACCTGAAAGCCAAAAACTATCTCTTCCAGGCAATAGACCGAACGGTCTTGGAGACTATTCTCAACAAGGAGACGTCAAAGGACATATGGGATTCCATGAAAAAGAAATATCAAGGCTCATCAAGAGTGAAGCGTGCACAGCTTCAAGCCTTGAGACGAGACTTCGAGATCCTCGAGATGAAAGACGGTGAGTCTATCACAAGCTATTTTTCCCAAACCATGGAAATTGTCAACAAGATGCGGTTTCAAGGAGAGAAGATGGAAGATGTCACTATTGTTGAAAAGATCTTGCGCTCCCTGACACCGAGGTATGATTTTGTTGTTTGCTCCATTGCTCAGGAATCTAAAGATCTTGATTTACTCTCAGTTGATGAACTCCAAAGCTCCCTTCTGGTACACGAGCAAAAGTTGACTCGAAGTTCAACTAAGGAGGAACAAGCCCTTAAGGCCTATACTCTTCCCGATCTTCGAACTTTAGAGGAAGGGGTCGGGGAAGAGGAAGGGGAAGAGGTAAAGGAAGAGAAGGACAGAGTTCTAGAGACGGAGACAAACAATAGGAACAGCATCCAAAAGCCAACAACAACCAAGGCCGAGGGAGAGGACGGCATAACAAATCCAAGGTCGAATGTTATAGGTGTCACAAATTCGGTCATTACAGTTATGATTCTACACCAAAATGCCGAATAAAGAAAGAGGGGAGAAAACAAACTTTGCAGAACAACAGAACAGCAACATGATGCTGAAACCATTCTAATGGCCACCCACGTCACAAGCCCATCCGAATCAGATGTATGGTATGTAGACATAGGATGCAGCAATCACATGTGCGGAAGTAAGTCACTTTTCTCAAATCTAAATGAAAATTTTCAATCAACTGTTCGCTTTGGTGATAGCTCTGCAGTTGAGGTACTCGGGAAAGGTGATATTAACATCCGCACCAAGAATGGGTTTGTAAAAACCATCTCCAACGTCTTCTATGTTCCAGACCTGAAAAGTAACTTGTTGAGCGTTGGACAACTACAAGAGAAGGGTTATGTAATAACCATCCAGAAAGGATCGTGTGAGATATATGATCCTAAAAGAGGAGCCATTGCTGCCATCAAGATGAGCACAAACAGGTTATTCCCCTTAAAGCTTCAACATGCTCCTTCCTGTTTTCTGACCGAAATCAAGAATCCGTCTTGGCTTTGGCATTATCGATATGGCACCTAAATTTTGGAGGATTAAGGACTCTCCAACAGAAGAATATGGTTAAAGGTCTTTCTCAGATTATAGCTCCTTCACAAGTTTGTGAAGACTGTGTTGTTGGCAAACAACCTCGCTTTCAGTTTCCCCAAGGAAAATCATGGAGAGCCAAGAAAGTACTAGAGTTGATCCATTCTGACATTTGTGGCCCTATCACTCCGACTTCCAACGGTGGTAACCGTTATTTTATTACTTTCACCGATGATTATTCTAGGAAAACTTGGGCCTATATTTTGCAGGAAAAGTCAGAAGCTTTTGGGATTTCAAAAGTTTTAAGGCACAAGTGGAGAAAGAGACAAGGAGACCCATAAAAACTCTAAGGATTGACCGAGGTGGAGAATATTGCTCCAAGGAGTTCGATGCCTTCTGTGACAACCAAGGCATTCGAAGGGAGCTTACTGCAGCCTATTCACCTCAACAGAATGGAGTCTCTAAGAGGAAGAATAGAACCATTCTCAACATGATTCGTAGCATGATCACCAAAGGAAGGATCCCGAAAACCTTCTGGCCTGAAGTAGTGAATTGGAGTGTTCATTTACTGAATAGGAGCCCTACTTTTTCTGTCCTCAACATGACACCAGAACAAGCATGGAGTGGGAGAAAGCCATCTGTTGACCACTTCAAAATCTTTGGATGCATCGCATATGCACATGTTCCTGATCAGAAAAGGAAGAAACTGGATGATAGAAGTGAAAAGTGTGTCTTCTTGGGGATAAGTGAAGTTTCCAAGGCTTACAAGCTTTACAATCCAGTCACTAAAAGGATTGTAATCAGTAGGGACGTTGTTTTTGATGAGGAAAACACTTGGAATTGGAGTGATGATGTTTCTAGGCAGCAGCCTATGCAGGTCAGTTTTGATGATAAAGACACAGACCCATCATCTCCTCAACAAATTCAAACCTCTGGCAAACACACCATTCAGATTGACCCTACAGAAGAGCCTCAACAACGTCCCAGAAAGAAACCTAACTGGATGCAAGACTATGTAACAGGTGAGGGTTATCTGATGATGATATTGCTCACTTTTCCTTATTTGTAGATTGCGATCCTATTAATTTGAAGAAGCTGTTAAGGATCCAAAATGGCAAAAAGCAATGGATGAAGAGATCAAGGCCATTGAAAAGAATAACACTTGGGACTTGGTAGACCTTCCAACAGGAAAAACATCGGAGTCAAATGGTGTTTTACAAAACCAAACTAAATAAGGATGACAGCATCAACAAGCACAAGGCCCGACTTGTTGTAAAAGGGTACAAGCAGGAATATGGAGTTGACTATAAGGAGGTGTTTGCTCCAGTTGCTCGCCTTGACACCATTCGACTGGTATTATCTATGGCTGCACAGAAGTCATGGCCTATCTATCAGCTGGATGTAAAATCAGCCTTCCTGCATGGAGACCTACAAGAAGAGGTATATGTTGATCAACCTCTTGGATATGCCAAGCATGGCAATAAGCATAAAGTCTACAAGCTCAGAAAAGCTCTATATGGCTTAAAACAAGCCCCACGGGCTTGGTACAGTCGTATTGAAGCCTATTTTACCCGAGCAGGTTTCCAGAAGTGCCCTTATGAACATACTCTCTTCACAAAAACTCATGCCAATGGAAGTATACTTATGGTATGTCTGTACGTGGATGACCTCATCTACACTGGGAATGACAAATGTATGCTTGCTGAATTCAAAGAGAATATGATGTCAGAATTTGAAATGTCAGACCTAGATTTGATGCATTACTTCCTTGGTATTGAGGTTTCTCAGTCATCACTTGGAATCTTTGTTTCACAAAGAAAATATGTTCTTGAGATTTTAGATAGATTCCAGATGAAGGATTGCAATCCAGTTAGCACACCCACTGAATATGGTCTCAAGCTCAAAAGAGATGATGAAGGGAAGAAGGTGAATCCCACAGTCTACAAACAGATGGTTGGATGCTTGATGTACTTAACCGCAACAAGACCGGACATTATGTATAGTGTCAGTTTAATAAGCCGTATATGAAAAATCCATCTGAAAATCATCTCTTAGCTGTCGAGGATTCTGCGATACTTGAAAGGTACAGTTGACTTTGGAATCCTTTATCAGA